TTTGACAGGTGCCTACAGGTTTCAGCAAGTCGTGACACCCGATTATGCCAAAAAACCCTAGGGATTTTTGATTGCCTGTTATATTCCGGGGTAGTAGGGTAATGCAGTATAATACAATTTTACTCTCAAATACTCCTCGGCCGTGTTAAATGCGCATTCGGTTAATCAAGAATAGTAATTAGATGGATTTTTAATCGCAATAGGGTGACAATATCAATCCCTCTATGTTAGATAGCAGAAAACGCTGCAAAACGCGTTCGAAAAATTTTGGTAGTCTAAAAATTGAAATGACGAGGCTGTTTATTTTTGGTTTTGTAAACACTTACAACTCCGCTTCAGTACTGCCGCTGGGCAGTATGTACTCTAGGCCATACTAGTAGATCCCAGACATTCTGTGCGTCAACACTACGTACTTAGCCATAGCATTGCCACCTCTTTCGCCTTCGGGAACGACTCGAGGCTCTACAGAGTACGTTATATTGGTGTGAAGTAATGGGAAAAAATTTATGATGGCAATTTCACAAATGAAACAGGAAAGCTAAGTCACAACGCAGCAACTTATTCTTCATTGTGCGCGTTTAACTGGTGGCAGGTTTCTCATAACAAATCAGATAAGGCAAATTTAGGTGTAGTCAGTAAGGAGGAAGTTTGCTTTACACTGCAAAAAAAGGATCATAAGCTGCCTTCAATGATTAAAATGAAAATAAAAAATAAGCAAACCAAACCAAAGTGAATGCTTTAATATCCCTTCCCGAACTGACGTTTGAGTGTAAAGGATGTAAGCTAGGCTCCCGAAATTTCAATCCAATGTTGAGACAACTCATGAAGGCTACAAACACACACACATTTCATTTTTTGTTTATGCTTCAATTTGTCTTTCTTAAGATGATTTTGTTTGCAAAATAATGAAAAGTAAGGTACTTATTTAAGTCTGGAGTATGTATTAGGCATTGAAGCCAACCTCCTCAAAAGAATCCACTCTAAGGACTTTTCTCGCATTGTTATTATTTAATTCTTGACAAAATCTAGCAAGATTACAGAGACTGACTTTGAATTGCCTTGATTTAGCATATCTCTGCCTTATTCAGTGTAGTTTCCAGAGTCATCCCCGCAGACCCATAGGGATATGCCGTTGTGGACTAACGCCCACGTCACCAAGATGGTGTCAGAGGCCTCGGGGTCTGAAGAGCCCGAGCTGTCAACTTTTACCAAACAAGTTTATTTGGCAGATACTCCACATCTCATCGGTGTCTTGGTTCGCTAACTAATATATTTGATGGTTAACAACACAACAAAAAGACTCACAATAATACCCACGCAGATACAGCGGATGATCAGGCTAGTTTGATGGGATAGAGATATGGCTCTTAGCAATGAAAGATTAGACTCGAGGCTTAACGGAAATTGAGGAATATTTACCTTTACATTCATGTGGTCTGATATGATAGACCAAATACTACACCGGCAGCTGAGAACTGTATGCACCGGCACCGACGGGACTCATTAAGGAGTTGCCATTGTGTGCATAAAAAGTCCATTCTGTAATATCCGGCGATGTAAATAGTACAGTTTAGGAAGCATATAGATCATTTCTACCTTACTATTGAAGTAAATGATCATTTTTTCAAACTCACTTTACTATTCGAGATCGTTATCTTCCCTATTAGTACTTGATTGGCCGATTTTACACCCCAGGTCGGTTAAAACTACCCAACAAGGGGTCTCCTGATGCCTCAGCTAGGTTCTCTCTGGTAAACCTAGCCTAAGGAGGTAAAAATGGGCTAATTGAAAGAAAAGATGGGTCAAGGAGAGCTGGATGCGATGGGAGACGCATTTTGTGCCATACGTGAGTTAGTT